GTTTTTATACTCTCAGACAGGTCTGGTACCAATTTACCGACACCGGAGGGATGGAAGGCTTGGTTGGTCCGGACGAAGCACGACCCAGGATTCGATCCGGAACGGCGGAAGTGTGTTATTGGTACTGTGCACTTACCACTATAACCACCTCATAAAAGGATAAAGGATAAAGCATTTGCCGTTGATCAATCCCTTTTTGGGATGCGGCACGCATTCTACTTCCATTTGTACATTCGTAGTGGCGTTTGAATGCGATGTGGCCTATACAATGACTTGCGGGGGCCAGCCGATGTTCAAGTCAGTGTTTTTATCCCAGACAAGTCTGGTACCAATTAACCGACCCCGGAGGGATGGAAGGCTTGGTTGGCCCGGGCGACTCACGACCCAGGATTTGATCCCCGGACCGCTCGCGTGGTAAGCGCGCCACTTGTCACTACACCACTTCCGCCCTCATAATATTGTTGCAGTTGTAAAATTTGGCTACTGTGTATAGATTATTCATGTTAGCGACAAAAAAGGGTCGGCAACAACCTACAGATGGTGTGCATATTGAGCGATCGCAAGTCTTTGCTAGCAATTAGCAATTCTTTCGCCGTGAAGCGTAACCAGCTTTCTTGGCAGCCAAGCTACTGTATTGAGTGGCGCATATACTTCCGCGGGGCGCACAAGCCTGTTCGTGATCACATCCTTTAAAAGGGCATGGAAATGGGACTAGGAGGTTTTGATAGCCGAGTGAGTCCGCTCCTCACTCATGATCTCGCGTTGAAATGGAGTTCTGCGTCTCGCTGATCTCCACGCTCCACTCTACCATTCGTATGGTCACTCTACAAGGCAGCCAGTGTATTTCGGTCATAATCTCCTTCAATGCTAAAATTAATCTGCAAAAAGAATTTAATTATTTTATATCCAACTGTTATCCTCCCACTTCAGAGAATTTGGGAGATGAGATTCTACAACGCGAAAAACTGTAATCTACCTACCTTTTGACTTTCACTTTGTTTTTGACCGGACCATCATGTATTTTTATTTATTTATTCATTTGTGACTGTTGGGAGTTTGGCATGATATTTTTACAGAAGGTAGCCTTCGATTCGCTGCTTCAATGGGAAAGTGGACAGAGGGCTGGACTTGAACGGAATGCGCAAATTTTTCTCTTCAGTATAATCATTGTATAATGTGAATGAAGCTCTGTTAAATTTCTCGCTCATCGTCGTTTGTACCATGTATTAGGCACGGCTCCCACAAAAAATGTGGTCCGCTCTCTTCCTCTTACAACGATAGAGGCGACTGAAATCGCTATAGGAGGACGAGCGAAAGTAGCCCTAAATCCAGCTGAAAATGCGGGTCATATAAGGCCTAGCAAATAAATCTTTATTTAGAACTCTTCAACAAATAAGGCACGTCAATTTTGAAAAACAATGGCAACGGACTAGCGAAGACACATTAAAGAGCAACAGTCACAGGAGCATAAAATGCGCCCCTAAGTGGCCAACAAGAGATCAAGTAAGGCAATGAGGTGATTCCAACGAAACACATGGGGATCATTCTATAACGAATCCTCTCAAAGGACCTGATCCCTTTGAAGTCGTCGTTTTCGTGTGCCACACAAGGATGTCTTTCGGTGTGTCGTTGTACCCGAACGGTTCAGCATCCTGTTTTTTGAAGCCGAAACCGGCTGATTTTTGCACCAATTTGGTTGAATGTTTGCGCTGTGCAATGATTGGCTTACTTCGCGGACCTTGCATACTGCTTGAGACATGCTTACTTCTTTACTCTGAACAGTTCTCTGAATTGTCGCAATCCTCCATATCGGGCGACTTCTCGATGAGGAGCATAGACACATACCATGAATCCACTTTGCCGTTGCTCCCACTTCGGTCATCCACCCATACTCCCCAACGAGACATAATCAGCCAAATATACTATTATACTGTAATGTTGACGCTTTTAGCTCGATTAGCTGTTTTGAGATTGAATATATAAAAAGATTTATTACAGAGTGAGTCAGCAGCATAACCAAGTTGGAGACCTGATGTTAGTTACGAAGTTATTACGTGGGAGACAGCCGAGGGGTCAGGCAGCTCACTAGGGCTATTACAGTAATGCTGGTAGACATGATGGATGACCGAGAATAGCACTCTGCATGACCGACTTCTACTGGATGCGCTACGCATCCGACTTTCATTCTGAGTCGTAATGAGGTTCGAAAGCGTGCATACTTGCGATCAAAACGTTTGCTCAGACAATTTTTGGCGTGCTTTATTTTCTTTTTTCTCTCCTTGAACAACTCTCTCTAGATGCTAGCTTGTTACGTCGTTTGGAACATTTGCATCCACCAGTATCGTGAACTGGCGATATTCAAATCCTCAGCTAATGCATAAAGCCGCGAGTGAAGCAAAATAAGGAAGAGCGTAGTTTAAGCAGGGCCAGTTATGACAGTCGCACCAATGCGGAAATCAACGAGCAGGGAACAGGTCCATTTCTCGGATTTCGGGCCATTTCAGATGGTTTCTCTTTTATCCCTACTGCGCTGTCCACCTCTACCTTAATTTTTAGTGAGCTAACTTTCTTATAACTTAACAACTTAACATCACTACGAAGCGTTCTTGCACACCAGTTTTGTCTCGGGATCTTTCTTCTATTTTTTATTTTATTATAGATTTATTCTAGTAGATCGGATCAATTCTCAGGGCTCTATCTATAGATGGGAATAATAATCTCGGGCTTGCTTTAAATGGCTGGTCTCAACACGGATACTACTGTGTGCTGGAGAGCAACGTGTCATAGTCCTGAGCAATCGTCTAATAGAAGGAGCAAACAGACCTCAGATGAGGTCGTCCATCGAAGAGTGCGAGTCCGTGGTGGGATAGAGTGGCCCACGAGTATTACAGAATTTTGCCGTTGCCACGGCTCCAAAGTGATCGGAACAATGGTAGGCGCTAGAGTCCTTACAGTAATCCATTTTCGGCTATGTAAGCTTTTCGGACGAGATACCGCATCCCCTAGAGCAATAACTTCTCGTAGTAGTGATAAGAAAACCGATAGCGATAGTGGATATCGCCTGGACGCGACTTGTGTTCGAGAAATGCACGTCGCACCCGCCCTCCGCTTGCGCACCTCCGTTAACACCCTATTCGCGATCTGGGGTTGTGTGTTTTGGATAATTATGAAAGTAGTACTTGGTGTATGATGAGGGCTATCAATCTTCTGCGTCTCCGCAGGGAAGAAACCGCGCTACGACTAATCTGAGTGAGACGTTCGCTCAGCATGGAGACATCAAGGTAACCGAATAAACCAGAAAATCAAAATAATGTAATTATCCTATCAATTATATCGTAAGATAAGGAGAAAGGAGACATTTAAAAAATCTCACCCACTGGCCAGATTCCTAATCGTTTAACTTTTCGAATGTATTTGTCAAATAACCGAACATCGTACGAATTGTCGTCGTCGGCAAAATATATTACAGATGCTGTTTGTGGATGTAAATCTCTCTGATAATATTGTAAGCCAATTGCGGTGGAGTCCCAGCACGGCCTGAAAGATCTAGTTTTTTTCGAAGTACTACATTGCTTTTTCGAAAATACTCTTCTTCGTTTTTTCTCTTTCCTTACTTTTCTTCTTTCTTCTTTTTCCTTTTTTTCTTCTTTTTCTTTTCTCTTTTTTTCTCTTTTTTTTGTTTCTCGAAAATTCTCGAAAAAACCAACATGTAATATATACACAAGTCTGTCAGTATGAACCGTTGTTTAGAAAGTGCACCACTCAATTATGCCGTCTATTTTATCTATCAATCCCAAGCTGGTTCTGCTTAATGGTTTTGCGTCCAGAATCTGAAATTTTTGTTGCCAAAAGCCGTCATCTACTGTATCCTGGTGTTAGCGAATCACTATCATGCCCTATTACGATGTGGCACGACAACGTCAGTCACTAATTCTCTGTATCCCTTCCGATCATTTAACTATGGATTTTTATACAAAAATCAATTACACTCAAACGTGGAGTATAAATTGCCATATGTGGATACCGGCATGACTTTTATGCCTCTCAAGTTGCACCTTTCATTCGAAGAATTTCGCAACTACCTGATTCGACCTTTGCAAAACAATAAGATCTAATTGCGTCCGTGAAAGGGTTCCGCTCCAAGTAATCAAAGTTCACATGAAGTAACGCCATGGAATAGCCACTTGAATTAAATACACAGAGACTTTTAATCTCCTCAGAATTACACATAAATGTCCCTTTAAGTGCTGAGAAAGTTGCCCGATCCAGAGACCGTCAATTTTTTTCCAAAATTGTGGCAATTTGTTGATTAATTAGTCCAAGTCCAGATAGTGGTAACGTCAACTGTCCTTCCGTTTCTTATTGATAAAAGGGTAGGAATGGAATCAAACAGTTTCTTTTAGACCATTTACATGAACAGAAGCAGTGGACTTACTTGGCATTCCAGGAGCGGTTGTGGTGGCCAGATAGACGTACGGGATTGTGCTTCGATGCAAGAGTCGTTCGATTGCATTAACAGTAGAACTGCCATCTTCAACCACAATCCAATGAAGATTTCGAATATGATTCAAAGTCTGCGACAACCGAAAATAATCATAGGCTCGGCTTCATAAAATGCAGGTGCAAGTAAGGTTGTGGCATGTTAATTTTTCCATCTAGGGTTTTTGAGCATCGTAGCGCCCCTATCGCCTGGGCGCTGTTTGCGTGCCTTCCCAAGAGCGCATGTACTTAAATACGGTAAATTTTTACATGCATTTAGCAGACAGGAAACTTCCCAGAAGCGCTGTTTTTGTTACTAACATTTCACTCAAGTATGCGCTATGCATGATCATTTCTACTCGGAATTGTGGCAGGGGTTTCTACTACGGTTACAAAATCATAGTAATATGCAGCGCTGAGCGGTGAGCAAAGCAGGTCTATCGTTTTGCCTTACCCGGCTAGTAGGCCGATTCGCATGCGACAGTTCGCATTACCTACAGCCATCGACTCCTTGTCGAAGAACCTACACCATCGTACTCTTTCTATACATATAGCCACTGCAACGGCAAATTCTCCACCATTTTGCCCACTCCAAGTATTTTTATGTACAGATTGTGAACAGTACGACCCGATTGGTAAAATCGACCCCTCCTTACAAACAGGAACCCTTCAACTTCCATCATCTCTGCCTGAGTCACTACAATCACCTCTAAAGATCATGATGTGACCCCATTCAAAGTCACCAACATCAGAATCTATAAATATGACGACCTTTCCGAAAATCACAAGTACGATCCGCATTGAAATTGGGACACCTTGGATTGACCCTGGTTACGGGCCCCTTTGCCTCAAACGCTTAGTCTATGATAAAAGGCAGCCCATTAGAAATCAAGGTAGAGATGGTCAGTGGTGCAGGATGAAGAAAAAACCATGAGAAACGGCTCCAGAACCCGAGAAATGGGACCCTTCTTTGCCGTTGATTTCCGCATTGATGCGACTCTCATCGGTGCTGCCCTCTTCAACGCTAATGCTCTCTCTGCTAAACGGCCAGAGTCAGACGGCGAAGGGTTTCCAGTCGGTTTGAGAGCAGCGCTCGAACGGGCACGGTCCTGCTAGGCTGCTGGAGGTATGCTCTTCGCTGCAAACGCGCACTGTCCCAAACCCTTAGGGGTCCGCCTGCCTTTTGACTAGGCATATTTCCCCTACTTCAACCTCCAACCTTATCGTGGAATCCTCTTATGATAATCTACGTTTTCCACCGAAATACTGAAGTTTTTCTCCACATTTAGACAGTAGAGATAGAGAGTAACAAGCTTGACTTTCTGATAGTCAGAGACGGGACATGGTCAAGAAAGACTTCGAGTGGAGCATATGTGAACCAGCAGATAACGTTTAGCCTCGGAGCGTAATGACGCTTATCTGTTAAAGGCAAGCCCCGGGATGAAACTGATAAGAGCGCTTCGTAGTGATGACTGAGCTGCGGGACGGCCTGAAAGTGGAAAGGAAAGCTAGAGAAATCTTTGGGATCGCTGAAATTAAGGCCTTAACCTTCAAAAAGGTCGGATGTGGAACGATGGCGAGGCAGGGCGGTCAAAGAAGACAAAACACGCGAGAGATCACGCCGTTCGAGAGAGCACGCCGATATCGCGGAAGGGGGTGGGAAGCGTTGGAACAGGTCTCCCTTTTAACAGGGTCGGATGGGGTGTACGATGGCGAGAAAGGGCGGTCAAAGAAGACAAAATACGCGAGAGAGCACGTCGTTTGAGAGAGCACGCTGATCTCACCACCTCTCGCGGTGGGTGGGAAGCGTTGGAACTGGGGTCGATGGTTGCAGGCCCGTAAGGATTAGCGCCCTAACCGCGCAATTTTTGCGAACGAAGCTGGGGTGATCTATGTAGTTACAGACCTTACAATTTCCCTCGTGGTATCC